GTTTGTTGTGGGTCATGGTGGTTTAATTAGATTGAAAAACAAATTACAGAGCCTGATTGTTAAATATTGGGAATCTGGTAGGAGACTGTCATTTTAAGAAACGTTGTTTTTAACCTGAAACAAGTATGATGGCTACTTGAAATTTCAATTCATTGAGGACAAAGGGACCAAATTGTCTTAATTTCTATCTCTTTAGTAGAAAACCATAAAAGCAAAAGTGGAACTTGTAATGTGGTTTCTAAGATTATTTAAAGTGTCTCTATTGAAATTTAATGAATAAGCGAATATTTGGAGTAATTCATATTCAACTCCAGTGTTTAATGATTTTTTCCTTGTGCTTTATTTTAAATTGTAGCAATATTTCTTCCTTTGATGCAAGCTTAATGTGGCAGACCATCAATAACTGCAAAATATGACAAAGTAAAAAGACCTTTACATTACATTTCAATTCCTCTAGTGTGCCTATCATTTTCAAAGAAAGGGGGTAAGAGGCACTCAGGATGCTCATTTCCTCTTTTACTGTTTCTCTTGGGACCACAGAGATATAAACATGCCTGACCAGTTAGGCTGAATCAATATGGCTGTTGCAAAAAAAAAAGTAGCCGCCTACTTGGAATACTTAAGATCTTTGAGGGTATCATAAAGAATCGTCTTTGGTTTTTTCCATTTTAAATAAAAATGTTCCTCTTGAATGGCCCTAACTGTAAAAAGAAATAAAATGTTACAGTATTTAACTTGTTTTACCATTAAAGAACCATGAAAAAGATAGTTACGGAGCAAGGAGTGAGAAAAATTGCACTATCTTGTCTCATTTTGTATGTGAACTTTTCTCCTTATTACTTAGATCCTGACTTTTTGTTTATTTCTAAGTCTGATGTCCTCAGCTTCAAGATGGAAGCTCACTTGCTGAAGAAGCATTCAGCACCTCTCTCAGCTGCTGAGGAAAAAGTGATTAGATCAGCTGCCAAGGCAGCAGGTTTTGCAGACAAGCTAATGATGTTAGATATTGTAGATGGCAATCTGAATGGACACACCTATCCTAATAGAGTGTAAACCCTCTTTAAATTTGTTTATGAACATAAAAAATGAATTTGAATGATAAACAATTACTGGCATCAATTAACAGCTGTGGCAACATTTGCTAAACAATGCCAATTGAGAGAGAGAGTTATTTATACAGTATGCAGTCTTAGCTGACGTCACTGTTGATCCAATTGTTAATAGGGCCAGTTTAGCACCCCATCAAGTCTGTATTTCCAGGGCATATACTGAACTCTAATTAAGAATTCTGTTTTTTCGATGCTTTCTGTAGTTACTTTTAATAAAATAGAAACCATTCCCTCCAGTATGGAATTGACAGTTACTGCCTTCACAAGAGCTAAAGAGAGATGAAGGCAGTATATACTCGTGCTCTGAACCATGAACTTTCAGGCCATCCACTTGATTTACACTGTGATGTGCCCTTGGCCTGCAGCAGAGCTAAAGCTCCAGTAGGAGTATTGATGCAGCTCTCACCCAATACACTCCAGGTTCACAAGAGCCCTGCAAACATAGGGAGTGCTGCTGCAAGGCATACGAAGCGGTTGACTTTGATCCATCAGACTCTGCTATTTTATTCCTTGCAATAGATGCCTTTACTGGTTGAGCTGCTTGGGAAACCTGTAGCTGGAAATGTTGTATCATCTGGGAAATGCCCTGTACCCACTACTCAAATTACAAAACACCGGCACATAAGTTATTGTTAATACATAAATACAATTATGTATCATTCTCAAGTGCTAAATAAAATTACTGGCATTATATTATCTGCATACCAGACATTTCACAGATTTAAAGTAAGCTTTAATTTACTGTCCATTTTTTAATCCATATTCTAAAATAATTTGGTAAATTTTAGAAAGGAGAAAATTCATAAAACATATTCTCAGGGCTCTCTAGCAAAATCTATTTATTTGTCAGTTTGTTTGGTTATATTAACCAAACACTGCATGTACGTTTTTATTAAAATAACCGATGATATTATATCTCTATTTTCTTTTGTGGTTCAAATTACTCCTGTTGGAGGTAGTAGTGTTTCTGTTCAATAGAACACATTGTGGTTTAATAAAAACCCCTTTAACATTACTTGTTTAAATGTTTTTTGTGGTTTGTGTCACATTTAATTATATACTCTATTAACCTGTATGTATGGCAGAGAAATTCTAGTGAAGATGGTAAAGCTCTTTAGTTGCTCCATAGTAATTAATCAAAATCAGGCTTCCGAATATTATTGAATCGCAAGGAAGTCTTCCTCTTGTGTGAAATTCTCATCACTTATGTGAGAGCTTGTCATGACAATATGCTGATAGAACATTCCCCAGAAAGTTGTGGCTAAAAACCTACTGCCCTCAACTGCCTGATCCATTGGAAGAAAACAAATACAGTAGAACTACATTCCCCAGAAAGCTGTGCCTAATGACCTGCTGCCTTCAACTACGTCACCAACTGGAAGAAGACAAATAGAACTACATACCCAGAAAGCTGTGGTCAATGTCCTTCTGACCTAATCTACCTGACCAATTAGATGAAGACAAATAGAACTGCATTCCCAGAAAGCTGTGGCCAATGGCCTGCTGACCTCAACTACCTGACCAGTTGGAAGAAGACAAACAGACAGGTGACCGTTAATACCAGCAAGCTTGGAGGCTTCCAAGATGGCTTGTGACCTCTATCTGCTAGAACAATGTTATTTGATTACCTTCTTACTCCCTTTATCCTTTGTTATTTGCAGCACCAAAGTATAGAAAGTTCAAGAAGGCAACTGAAGGATTGATGCACACTATAGTGTGATCTTTCAGAAGAGTATGGTTTTTGCAGGAATTTCATTTTAGAAAATAATTTTCTTAACAGATGTAGTTTGTGGAAGAGAGGTTTTTTAGGCTGATAACCATCTTAACTGCCCAGTTACTTATATAGTTACAGCTTGAAGTAAAAGCCAGCTTACTGTTTGGCTTTGGTTTATTTTTCCTTGCACTGCTTAAATAATGAGCACTCTTATATTTTACCTTACTTCTGTCTTTGTATGTCTGTCACCTATAAAAAAATATCCTGATACACCATTCCCCTGGTAATGCCACACTATTAAATTGTTAAGTTCCATTAATGGACTTTTAATCATGATTAATATCAGTGTATGAAAAAGCTATGGGGTGCCCCTGGAGTCATAGTGTGTGCAATGATGGTGCACTCCGAATTTTAAGTATGCATTAAGAGAAGGACAGAACAAAAGTTCTGACATTGACCTAAGATAATCTATTAAAGCTGTTTATGATAAGACAAAGCTTTTGTTTCCAAAAGTTAAAAAAAACATGAATAACACTTTCATTAACAAAAATTAACTTAAGTACTGTAATTATTTACCGAAAGGAACTGCTGCATACCTTTCAGAAACCTAATTATTATTTTAGAAAAGCAAGGGATGTCTCAGTTCCATCTATACGGTATATTCAGGACAAAGTAGAAGAGAAATTTGGTTCTATAAATAAATAAACATTAAATATAATGCAGTCTGTTTCTGAATATTGAACAAAGGTGTAAAAATTGCTTTCATTTTGTGGTTCTGTACAACTAATACACCAAATGTCATAACAATGTTGATTATTTTGGCAACCAAAGTGCATGTGCTTGGAAACTGGGAGCAGCTGTCTTACATATCACAATTAAAGACTTAATTCTTAATCCTCAAATAATATCACTGTCAAAAAATGGTGCAGACATTCTTTAGAGCTTCTTCACTATGAAATGTATATTTATAAATAAAGCAAGTCCTTAAAACATGTACTGTGTGTTATCTTTGCAAGGCAAAACATTTGCCATGACAGTGTTTTCTTCATAATAGTACTACTGTCTGCACCATTTTTTGATGTTTAAGTTTGATTGGTTGTGTCAAATCTTTTGGTTCTCTGTCTCTATTAGTCATTGATGGTTTCTATTATATCAAAATTCCTCCATGAAGTTATCTTCTTATAATAAATTGCAGACGATTCAGTATTCTACAAAAGAACTGTACATATCCTGCATTGAAAAGGTTAAATATTAAAATATTACTTCCTACTTTTTTAAGAGTAATCTATTAAATGATTGTTTCATTAACTGAGGCAAACTGTCCCAGAGGGAGCAAAATATATATCTCAGAGTAATTAATCAATTCTATTGAAAAACAGCTGCTTGAATTTAAATAAATTGCCCTGCAGCAGCTACCCTATGAAAGTGGATCATCATTTTTTCATCGAAGTGAAAAAAGTTAGATGTGGTCTTACTGCAAACAAGGATGCTTTAAAAAAAACACAATAATCAAAATTATTCTAAAATATGCCGTAGATTCCAATAAATAATGTTCTTGTTCTGGCAGTTTTATTTTTTGTTGTGCTTTAAACGATTTCATTGGGTTGAATTACATGTGCTTAATTTATTATTATTTTTATATTGGGTTGAGTTGCATGTGCTTGATTTATTATTATTTATTATCACATTGGTTTGGGGGTCCGATTTTCAATGCTGATCAATGTCTAATTTTTGTCTCCCCTGCAACCCATATATGACAACAAGAAGTAATACTTGTGAGTGTTCCTTAAGCTCAGAGGGTATCCAAGGAGTCAAAACCTTTAAGTGAATCAACCCCCAAGATCACCCTCATCCCTGTGTGTTTTCATGTATAATAAAGAATAACCAGCAATGTTCCAGGCACATTTCTCCTAACACTGCTCAGCTTACCTTACCATCATGAAGCCTGGTGATCAGGTCAAAAATCTAAACACCTTTAAACTTCACTGATTACGTTCATATTTAGTGAAAAGAGAAAATTGATCAGGAAGGCAATAATTATTTAGAAAATTGCACTTTTCATGCAGGAAAAGTATTGATCATGCTGTGAAGAGCCAAGATCATGGAGTGACTTAATCAGTGCCTTATCTATATCTTCTGTGATGCTCTCTGTGTCAGAAAAGGTAGAACATATTTACCTTTTGCAGGGCCTGGTAATTCTTTGGGTGTTGTCATGGCTGCAGGCAGTGTAAGCAATAAAAGAAGATGAGGGGAACAATATCACGGATAAAAAGAGTCACATGAAGACAGAACAAATCACATGCTTTTGCTCAACTGGACCAATATGCATACAATGACAATGCTCTGAAACCTGTACTTCAGATTTGAAACCACACCTGAAGCATATTGCCAGCACTCAAAAACAGCAGGCTTGAACTTTCTTTGACTGTAATCAACAAATGGTAAGGGGAAAAAAAAATCAAAACTTTTACAACTATGCTTTTGCTTGTCTAAGGTGCTGAGCATTATGTACAGTACGGAAAAATGCAAAAGAAAGCTTGAAAATGCCAGGAGAGGAAACCATATGTGCTTTCTGTCCCAAAAAAGATACATTCTACACAGACACAAATACGCACAACAGTGCAAATTTTCCCAAAAGCCAATTAACCTACCAGTATGTTTTTGGACTGTGGGAGGAAACTGGAGCACCCAGATGAAACCCATATGAAAACAGGGAGAACATACAATCTCCACACAGATAGCACACCAGATCTGGAACTGAACACAGGGTCCCAGCTCTGTGAGGCAGGAACGCTAACCACTGCACCACCATCCCACCCAAGTCATATTTACTATAAATTTTATTCTGGGGACTCAATTTAAATTAAGTGGAAATCGGCAAACAGTTTATGATTATAAGGCAATCTAACAAAGCTAGATGGTATAATTCCTGAACCTGATTCTTCTTTTCAAGGGAAGCTCAGCTTAGTGCTTGATTACAAGGAAATGCAGATCTAGAACTGAAAAGCCTTTGTCTCTAAGTGACACATTCTAATTACATTGTGGTCTCCACCTTTTCGAGATGTGTCTTAATTAGACACTATGAACCCTTATTTCGAATTTATATTCTTTCCATTGCAATCAAGATATTAATCAAGATAATCTTAGAAAATACTGATTCTTAATGAAACTGTTAACTAAACAAAAAAGGGGTGATGGATTATATGATGGATTATAACCTGCGTTGGCTATTGGTCGTATATTGCTACACGTTTCCACTTACCGTTTCACGGATTTACCAAAGACCTCCTTCAGTGCCAAAATCGAAAATAGGAGCACTGCTTGTCTTTTGTCAGCATGCAAAAATTTAGCCAAATGAAAAAATGCAGGTTTATTAGTTTGCAAATTTGATTCACAGAATGCCTCTTTAACAAAAACTTCAAAGGAAGAGTTGATTATTTTACTGTTGTGTGTGACCGGGTATCAAGAGATTAACTAGACATACTGTATCAGTATTCCTTATCTTTAAGGCAAGATCATGTGCAGTCTCTGGAGTATTGGAGTCAGACTGATTGGAGCACTACAACTGTCCCTTATCAATTGAGGCAGGCACAATGTCCAGAGGCCAGGTGTCCAGGCAGGTTTAGAAACATCTTGAAATCACTAGAAAAGTCTTGAGGCCAGAAAGCAACCCCTTTTTATGATGGTAAATAAAACAGCCACCATTCATACAGTACATTCCCACTCGAAGCTCCGTGATCTCACTTACCAGTGAATATGAAATAGCACTGTGAGTAGGTTTCCTATTTGCAGGCAACTCTAAGGAAATCTACCAGGCTGTTTGAGCCTAGAAGATATCCATCTTAGAATTTAGGCAAAGTGACTTATATTTTATAGCTGTACATATATGAATACTATTATAAATTAAGAAAAATGTTCATTTATTTTTTCCCTCATTAGCAAGAAAGGCTAATTGTAAATAACAGTAGTAGACATTCTATGTTTGTTTCATTCTATTAATAATTATAAATTAGAAACAAAGAACCCAAATGCTTTCATTTATTATTGCCATTGTATTCACTGACAACAATAAGTTTCACAAATCAGTTGGTAAACTGAGGTTAGGGCTTGATTGTATATTTAGAATTTTAGCCTCATTTATATTATTTGATCACAACATGCCGACGTAACATTATGAAAGACTGGTCAATAGTTCTGTGTCTGGTTTTCAGGTCTGTGAGATACTGAGTTCTTTTTAGAGGTACAGGGATTAAGTTATTTTTAAAATAAGGTATTTTTGTAAAGTAATGATAATAAAACACAGCACTTTCTTGTAAACTGCAATTGCTGTGCAGGGCAATTGCAGGTAAGCAGAATAGATCACCATTACATAAAAAAAATAGTTCTCTGTGTTAAAAAAAGAAAGACCTAACAGCATGAAGATTGAATCTTGAAAAGTGAGCTCAAACTGCTAAGTGCTGTACTGAGACATATCTACATTGAGTAATGACAGCAGGCATTTCAAGATTTAAAATCCAAACCATCCATCCATCTACCCGCCCATTTTCTAACTAATTCCTCCAGTTCATCCAGTCCTCCTGCATGGCTGCAGGAGAGCCAAAGCCTTGCACAATTTTCATTTCTTTTTCCTTTCTTTTTTGAAAAACAAACATATCCAATTTATATCCATTAAAATAATGCTTTCAGCAGTTTTACCAGTAACTTTGCTCCACTAACACTGGCTGATCATATACAACTGCAATACACATTACGACAAGATGAGCAAAGTGTAATGGTGACCTGCAATGAAAAGCAGTGCAACATTATTTTGGCTAAATACTGAATGGCAAGGGAAGAGAAAAAGCTTAGACTAGAATCCCCAGAGATAAAAGTAGCCAAATCAAAGCAGAATTGTTCTGAGACAAGAAGTTCAAGAGGAGACGCTGGATATGATGTTAAAGCTCAAGATCATGATTTTTTTATATACTGTAGTGTATTTTTGCTGAAAAAATGTACTGTACTTTCAATTTTCAATTCAAATTGTCAATGTTTTTTTTTCATAAGATTTTCAAAAAACATAAAAGGTTAAGTTGCACAGTTATTTATGGATCATGCTGTGCATACTCAGCATCTTCAGTGGGCATTCAATGGAATCAAATAAATTTTCTGTATAGATGTCTCTATCTCTGCCGCTGCTTTGTTTAAAATGACCATAAGAAGAGTCAATGAAATTGGGAATGTTTGGCATTTTTTGAGTCATGTAATGAATGTACTGTACAGTACTACACCCTTTCTTAAAAAAATGGCTATAGTAGTACCATTTTCTAATCTATTAAATCACCATAGGTTTTCCAAAAATGAATTACTAGTTTTGTAAAAATAATAAAATCCGAAAGTGCAGAGAATTTGGTGTAGGCATGAGGTCATCTAGCATGCTAGTTTTTAGCCCTTACACTTGATTTCGGTTTCTCATATGAGTGGTGCTTTAGTATAAGACGCCACTGTAAGAATCCATTGATCTAATTATGCACATTTAATTGTGAGGGATATGAGGTAATAATGTTTTGTCAAATGCATTCTGGGATGATTTGAATTAAAATGTGCACTCTTGAAATTATGTTTAACATAGTGGGAGTTTCAATATTTACATTTCCCAATAATATTCTCCCATTATTAATATTCTCCCTATTATTTGTGATTTCCGTTTGATTTTGTGTTAAAATACCCTATTTATAACCATTGAGCCCTCCTAGACAGCTTAATATAAGCAGAAAACAAATAAGAAAAATTATGCTCTTGAAACAACTTACAGTTTTCAATTTTAGAAGATTTACAGAATTCAAGATTGTTGTCAGATCTGAGCTACCTTCTTGAAAAATTCAGAATATGCCAGATTTACCAGAAATATAAATGTAAATACCTCCTGTACTCTCGGGCACTAGAAATTCACTATACTGTACCTTTCAGCTGAAACTGTGCTCATTTAATGATAACTGTTTAAAACCAAATCCATGGTCTCATTAAAATCGCGATCACCATGATGCCCACAGGCCCTTGAGGGTCTTCTCTCATTTCCCTAATGACCCATCATTACAACATTAAATGCGGAAAAAGAAAATTGCACACTGAAAATCTAACCAGAATATTCTCAAATACTGTAAACTTTCTTTTTCACTTTTAGGGGAGTTATAACTATCCTAATCTACTAAACTGAAGCTTGATTAAAATGTAAAATTGCACTTATTTTTTCACATAATGAATAAATGATTTAGATTGTTGACTTACAGTACATGAGCAGAGTTTAAATTTAGAAGATTTGCATGGAGAGTTTGGATTTTCAAAATGTTTATACTGCATGATACCCCAAATACCTAGGGGGTGGTATATGCTGCTTGGCAACACGATTTAGAGCATTTAGCTGCAATATCAACAGTATATGGTTTCTAATGTGATTCCTGGAATAGCTCATTTTCTTAGATTACATCTGCTCTGCATGACATGAGTGTTTTTTTTCCATTTCACATTTGAGTTCAATTTGAAAAATATAAGAAAGGATATACTGTAAGTGAGATGGGGCCATCTGGCCCATTTTGTTCAATTCGTAGTTTAGTAGCTAAATTAAACTAAAATTATATCTTATTTCTTAAAAGATAATGGACCCCTACCTTGCTGGAAAGCCTGATATCCAGTACTCTGTATAAAGAAGTCTTTCCTAAAAGGGAAAATTAATTCCCTTTTAGTGACCACATGTCCTGGTTTTGCTTCTGACTATTTCTAACCACTCCCCAGGATTGACCATATCTACAGTATACCCCTTAGAATCTTAAATACTTGCATCCATTCTGCTCTTAATCGCCTTTACTCTAGAAATGTATTTATTTCCATTATCCTGTCTCAACATGAGGAATCATTCATGTTGAAATTCTTAGATCTCTTTATACAACTAGACCTTTTTTGGTGAGGTGATCAAAAAAATGTCCTACATGAGGTCTTTCTAGGACATAGTAAAACTTAAACATGACATGTTTTGAATTACACACTTTTTGCTATACTACAAACCCAAGCATTTTTTTGCCTTTTAAATGCATCTACAGATTTTTTTGACGAGGACATAGAAGAATTTAGATATCCATCGAGATCATGTTGGTATCTTCCTGCCAAACTAGATTATCTATGCAATGGATTATGAATATTCCTACAGTGAGGTTCACTTTACACTTATCAATGTGAAAGTTCATTTGACATGTGTCTGTCCAGCTAATGATTTTGTTTAAGTGTAGCTGTAATTCCCTTCCAACAATTGCTGTTTGATACTACCCCTTTTTTGTATCATCTACAGATACACTGAAACAAGTTTATTTATTCTAGAAATTGTATCACATAAACATTATCTAGTTTGTTAACTATATCAGAATCTAAATTATTGATATACTGTCAAATGGATCCCTGTGGCACACCACTACTTACATCTTCCAAATTAAAAGATGTGTCAATTAAGATGACAATCTGTTTCTTGAAAAGTTCTTTATCCATTGATGAAATGTGTAAACATAACCTCAGATTACATTTTTTAAAACCCTTTACTAAGGACCTTTACAAAAGTTTACTACTGTTCCCTAAAATGTTAATGCTTTCTAAGCTTAGCTCTATAATTTCCAAAACTTCTGTCTATGAATATCTCTAATTTCCTTGAGTATCCGGAAACGGTATGTGACTGTGAAGGTATGGGGTACAATTTTGATTTATAGAAGTAATACTAAGTAGGCTCCATTAAACTTCAGATTCTTGTCATACCTATCCTGAGACTTATTATATATTATATTTCCTAGAGCGCCTTCAAAAAGATTCCAAGATATGAATAAT